TACTTGGGGGGACATGAATAGGATTATGTCCTGCTTTAGTAAGGACTGGCTGGGAGGGGAAAGGAAGGGATGGGTGGCTGAGGTAAAATGGACCGGAGACAGTCAGCCTGATAGAGAACCGCGGGAGGAACCCCGGAAGGAGATGGTAAGAGACTACCAGCTGTTTTTTCACGACTGGACTAGGATAGATCCCGCTAGCCCATTACGTGCTGCACAGGATTTCGCAGATCCCTTCCCCCCCCACCCGCTGGCCTTAGAAAAAAAGTTACTGCCCTCATGACCCTAGGGGCCTGAGGGTAGGACCGAGTAGGATACAGCCTGTCGCAGATCAGTCTATGTCTCAGCTAGCTGCAGGCTATCTCACTGGTTAGCTCCTGTGCTTATCTCCTGCAGATCAGTCTATGTTTCAGCTAGCTGCAGGCTATCTCACTGGTTAGCTCCTGTGCTTATCTCTTGCTTCTGCTGAACTCTGTTCATTCATCTGACCCTGCGGCAGGCACAGTGGCATTACTCCAACGGATGACTGTTAAAAAAAGCGGTGTATAAGGGACGCTGGACCCGGTTTCCAGCAGGTGATGCAGACTTTCAAATTTCAGCTGTTTTGTACAGATGTATTCATGGGACGCTGGGCCCGGTTCCCAGCAGGTGAGGTTCCCCTTACAATTCTCAAAAATGTTCAGTACTCTTTAGTATTCCAGCTGATTTCACTGCAGCCTGGTTTCTGTTGCTTCAATGGGCGCCATGAGGATAGTGGGTGGATGGCAGAGGCTAGGGGATGGAGGGAGACTCCACCGGTGCCTCCCGGTGGCCCCCCCCCGAATACCCGACCCTGATGCAGGTTCGGTATGGAAGAGTAGAGTGGATATGGGACGCTGGACCCGGTTTCCAGCACTTTGGCGTCATTCTCATTGATGTACTGTGTGGCAAAGATGTATTTTTGGGACGCTGGACCCGGTTTCCAGCAGGTGTTGCTCCCCACCAATAGATGGAGCGGCCCGCTAGTCAAAGCCTCAATCCCGGTGGTTCTCTTACCACCACCAGGATAGAGGTCTTGCACAAGGGCCTTTCAAAAAAAAAAAAAAAAAAAAAAAAAAAGGTACACCAACACCAAAACAAGCGGTCCATTTCTGCTGATTCGAGCCCCCTAAACGAGGAGCGCCTTAGATCAGAAAAGAAAAAATAGAAAAGAAAGTGTTTGAGGCCTTTCTTGAGAAGTCAATGCTGGCACGAGGGGTTACCTGAGCAAACTGTGACACCAGCCAGGGTTTGGAGTGAGCAGCAGGCCCAGGACAGTATCAGTTTTCATCGGCTTATCTGGCGCCCCTCATCCGTGGGCGAAGAGATACAGAGACAAGCTCACGATTGGACTACACTTGGCGCCCCTTGTTCGTGGGCGAAGAGATACGGAGACAAGCTCACGATTGGACTGCACTTGGCGCCCCTCGTCCGTGGGCGAAGAGATACGGAGACAAGCTCACAATTGGACTACACTACTGGAAGTGGCCCCCCCGGATTCAGAAGCAATTGCACAGGCAGCATGATTCTCCAAGTTCATAACAGCCACGGGCTTGCCCACAGCCACAAACTCATTTTCTCTCAGAGCATTTGCAGATAATTTTTGACCCTGGCCTGCTCAGTCAATCCCTGGGGTTGAAGAGCAATCAATGCTGGCAGACCCACAGCCACAAGTTCTCATCTTCTTCAGACATGTGCAGATTCCTTTGATATTCCTTTGTAAAATGGGACGCTGGACCCGATTTCCAGCAGGTGATGCTCCCCACCAATAGATGGAGCCTCCCCCAAGTGTTAGCGGTGTCTGCTCTTATCAGCGGCACTAACACCGGCAGGGGTGTCTTCCTAAAAAAAAAAAAAAAAAGAATAAAAAAAAAAAAAGAGGCCATCTATGTGGCCCACATGAACCGATAAATGCGGCCTGTCACTCGAGGGGCCATGTCACACCAGCAGGGGTTAGTTTTGGGTTCCGAAATCTGTGTGGCAACTTGCCACTCTTATGTGGGGGGGAAAAGAACGGGAATGCAAAAAAGGGGGTAAACATGAAAAACGACTTCCAAACTGCATCTGGCCTGCAATTTTGGGCTGCACTGTCGCGTGACATGCACCTGCACTGAGGGGCAGCCCGCCAACCCATCTCTGACAACCTGTGGCCCAGCGCGTGGCAGTGGGAGCCCAGGGGCAAGGTCCCACTTGCACGGATTACGAGAATCTGGCCGTTGATCTTTGCTATCTACGGTCAATATCGCTTAACTCGTGTAAATGGGACCTATCCCCAGGCTGTGGAGGCTACCTGGTAGGGTAACCAGACGTTTCAACAGCATTGTCCCCACGCACGGCGGGTGGCAGCGTGAGCTGTGGAAGTGGCGGTCAGTTTTTTTTTTTTTTTTTTTTTTTTTTTTTTTTTTTTTTTTTTTTTTTTTTTTTTTTTTTTTTTTTTTTTTTTTTTTTTT